AGAATAAAGAAACCCATTATAAGTGTCATAACTTTTTGGTGTATGTTTGTCTGCACTTACCACCTTTCTGTGTGGAGTTTGTGTGTTCTTCTTGTTCCTGAGCAAGTTTTTACTGAGTTCTCTGGTTTCCTCCCACAGTCCAAAGACATGCAAGGTTAATCAGTGATTGCATGTCTAAGAGAATTGAATTAATTGATAAACTGTTTTGAGTGCGCTGCAAGGTGGCTCAGTGGTTAGCACTGGTCCCTCGCAGCTAGAAGGTTGCCAGTTCGCGTCTTGGTGAGGACACTCGGGACCTTCCTGTGTGGAGTTTCCATGTTCTCCCTGTGCAGTGTGAGTTCTCTCCAGGTTCTCTGACTTCCTCCCACAGTCAGAAAACATGTTGAGGTTAATTGGTGATTCTAAATTGTCCGTAGGTGTGAATGTGAGTGTGCTTGGTTGTCTGTCTCTAAGTGTAGCCCTGTGATAGACTGGTGACCTGTCCAGGGTGTCCCCTACCTTTGCCCTAAGTCAGCTGGGATAGACTCCAGCCCCCCGCGAATAGGATTAAGCGGTGTATAGAGGATGGATGGATGGATGGATGGATGGATGGGTGTTTTGAGTGCTCTGCAGATGAAGGGAAAGTCTGGACATTTGTGAAATGGCAAAAAGATGCAGCTCTGTGTCCGTCTCCTCTCCACTGTTCATGCACTCTCACCTAAATAGACACGACAGAACTGAATCAATCCACCTTGGTCCACTATCAAGGAATGACTGAATTTCTTTGACCCTGCCAGCTCGTTCTCTTAGTTCTGTGTTTCTGTGCTTACAAACATCCCCAAAATCTCAACTCATCTGAACATCACTGACCTGGTTTCTCAGAACAGTTATTAGTTGCCTTGAACTCCATGAATCTAAATGCGCTCACTGTCACTGTGGTAAAACAGGAAAGTTAAAGCTTTCATACTTTGTACTACGGCAGAAAAAATAAGTTTAGTTCATTACCCAGCTCTTTTCAGGCTTCACTTAACTTTTACTAAGATCTAGTCAATCAAATATTTCTTTGTTGACCTTAACTAATTTTATGCTATCCTCTTCTCTCAGCCTTTTTGTGAACAGCACAACGTCATAATCGACTGCTATTCCAAAGACAGCCAAACTAAAGCTTGTTCCAGACATGTATTTCTCTCCGACTGACAGCATGGGAACATGTTGGCTTCATGTCTAAATGGCAGTCTTACTAGGTCAGACCTATCTGAACTTCAAGCAGTCATATTAACAGATAGCCATGCACAAGTCATGGTACTTTGAGTTGTGTGAGATTTGGGAAAGGCTTTTTCCACATTGCAGCGCAAACAATGGTCCAGATACTGTATATCACAAAGAGTTTAAGACGCAGTTTGTGTGAAACTGAAATGTCCCTCAATGGAGTATGGGCAAGCCTTGTTTTTGCTCAGTTTTGTGTTGCCACCACTTAGCTAATCCACATAGTCTGAGAAATACATTAATACTGTCTTTCCTGGACCAGGAATTATTCCATGGAACAAACAAAACGGCTTTTTTGATGGCACAGACCATTCAGTTGCTTGACTGTGACCCAGGCCTCTTGGGCAACCCCAATCCCAACAAGATCATCAGCAATAAACAATTCTACCCAACCCTGGATTAAGTCAGATGACATCTTTTTTTTTTTTTTTTTTCAGTTTCATCAATGTGTGATCAGGAAAATGATACCTGTGTAGCGTACTAAGGAGCTGAACAACAGTTTATTGCTGAGCACATTCCAGAGCAGCACACACAAACCCTTCTCACAGCTGTAAATTTGGTAAGAGACCATCTGAGAAGGCAGCTAAGTCAAAACTTTCACCCAACTAGAAGTGTGATGTTTACATTAAATTAAGCTCTCACGGTACACTTGGAGACAACAGGACGTCTCCTACCTTTCAAAGAATCTGATGATTGTCAGTTCAGATGACATTCACACCCCTGAGGAAGAGGAGATTGTGTTCTTCACTGTGATCTCCTGACTTCAGGCCCTTCTTAACACCCAGAATTTCTATACAAGAACAAACTGAACTGTTTTAAATCGTAAAATTAAGAAAATCCAACCGCACCGAAGTATTGATCTCAACATCTGGACTCAGTCTGTGGTAGTAGTTCTTAAGACACAAACATCTCCTTCTCTCTGTCACCACCATGAAAACACAGAAAGACTCTTATTCTAAGCATATACAGCATGATTATTATGATATATATATTATATTATTATGCTTATTATTGACTGTATAAGCTTGTGTTCTCATTATATTAGAAGTCTACTTTGATGTATCCTGAAATTCCACAGTTTACAGGCATGTTTACACCTTTTATTTCTATCTCAGGAAACGTATGAGATAAACATATCATGTTTGATATCACTTGAATCTTATGTTTAGTGGGATTTTAGATGTGTCGTGATCTTAGATATTGAAGGACTGAAATGACCTCAGATTAATTTCTAAAGCTACTGGCCTATGACCTCTGACTTCTCCTGGACAGTGAAGCTCAAGGCCAGCTCTTGGGATGAACCCACCCATGATTGGTTAGATGCTGATTTGAATTATTTGGCTCCAAAACTTTCTGTATAAAAATGAAGTCACTGAAGTGCAACGACAGTTCTTTGCTACATTTTCTTGGGCTCCTCATTCTTTTATGATGAGTTTTTAGTTCTTTTGTTTTGAGTCTGAGTTTGTTTTTTTGTTGAGTATCAGCTTTCTTACTTAAACTTTTACAAGGCAACGGGCAAACAACAAGGCAAACAGTTTGTTTGTAACTATGATCTTTGACCCTGAGTATATTTACTTGGGCTCTTTTTCACTTAAACTATAAATTGATAAAAGTGCCGTCCTGTCTCTGCGTCACTGAACCGCCTCTTCCAGATGATCTTAACAGCAATACATTGTGCTGAAGCCCTCTCCCTCCTCCTGACCTCACATGTTGATCCTACAGCTTCTACAAAGTTATGCAAGTATGATTGTGTTTGAGCTAAATAGTTGAATTTAGAAATTACAACTGATTCTCAGTTCCAAAGTGACTCTCAATTGATCACAGCTCTACTAGCTGCTTCCAGTGACAATCACTGTTAATGAAATAGTTTGCTCATTCATTCACTGCCTGTTGTTTGCTATGTCATTGTTGTCTTGTTTGTTTGTAGCGGTAGTTAATACATTTTTTTCTGTATAATTATCATCTGTTGTACCGTGTATTTCTTTGTTTGGGAACTGGAGGTCAATGATTTGATACATTTTATAAATATTTGATATCTGAAATATTCCTGATCAATATCTCTCACCTGATTTAAAAGATCTGAGTGGTGTCCCTGAGTGAAACATTTTAAAAGGTGTAGTTTACCCTATGGTGCTGCAAGGTGGTTAGCATCGTTGCCTCGCAGCAGGAAGGTCGCCAGTTCGCGTCCCGGTGAGGACACCTGTGATCTTTCTGTGTGGTGTTTGCATGTTCTCCCCATGCAGCGTGGGTTCTCTCTGGGTTCTCCGGCTTCCTCCCACACAGTCCAGGTTAATTGGTGATTCTAAATTGTCTGTAGGTGTGAATGTGAGTGTGCTTGGTTGTCTGTCTCTAAGCGTGGCCCTGTGATAGACTGGTGACCTGTCCAGGGTGTCTCCTGCCTTCACCCTGAGTCAGCTGGGATAGACTCCAGCCGTCCCGCCACCCTAGTGAGGATTAAGCGGTGTATAGATAATGGATGGATGGATGGATGGATGGATGGAATTTACCCTATGTTATTGTGGTGGGCTGATCTGCCTATTGCAAATCAACTACTGATAAGGTATAGGATGTGAACTCCATCTTTCTGCATGGAAGAATATTTGCTGCGTAACAATCGGCCATTCCGACCTCCACACCCTTACATTTTAGCTCCCTATATAAGGCCAGACTATTTCCTGCATTAGCGCTGAATGTGATGCTGGAATTGTGCCTCTGATACTGTGCTTGGGAATAAATGAAACCATCAGCACCACTGATGTTTGCTGTTGTGTTGTGTCATTTCCTTTCTCATGGTCTGTTGTCTGTAATCACACCAGAATGTGTATCTTTGAGTGATTGTGCATGCTGACAAAAAAAATACATTTTTGGTGTGTTTTGGTTCATATGGCCACAGGAAGACATAGCAGGTGGAGGGTTGTTCCTGTGGCCCTGAGGCCTGAGTATGCAAACTATATTTTTGTAAATGACCTTGATGTGTTTCAGAGGAGGTGATGTGCATACAAGGACTGCTGGTAGCTTTACAGGGAGTAAACTAGTTTGACATTTATTATAGACTAAAGACCTTAAAAGTCTCTCTTTCTCTATCCATCACCGTGCAATAAGGCCACCAGGGGTTGCCAAACACTTCCATTTCATCAGCCCATCCACTTGTTGGGAACCATAAGAGATCCCTCCCAGCAGAGATAAGTGTCATTGTGCTTGTGGATGGCAACCGAAAAGGACACCGCTGAATTCTAAAAACAGGACAAGACAGTATCATATGATCAGTGTTCCTGGACCTGGGGATGCATTTGAACACACTCGTCAGCTGCACTCTGTAAGTAAATGTTCTCTGTTTTGGTATATAGATTTAGAGAGAGACTTATTTCAGACTTGTGTAAAGATAACTGACAGCTGAAAAAGGTAATGATGCAAATTTTCAACATTTGGGTTATACAAGTGTGACATTTTGTTAATCTGTGTTCACTGAGTATGTGTAAATGATGATTTATGGTAGCAGTATTTGTGCCAGGATTCAGCCAACCTAAGACTGTTTGACAGGTTACTATTTCATGTAAAGAATCATAATTAATTGATGAGTGAATATGAAGTCTGTGTGATTTTTATTTCGGTGGAACACTGTAGCTTTTATTAAACAAAGCATGAAAGAAGGAGGAGCACCTTGTCCAGCCACAGCTCTTCCTCTCAGACTGTCACTGTGCTGAGTTGAGTTTAACCTGAAGGCCATTCCTATGGTGGCCAGTCAATGCCTGGCCATGGGCAACGGTTCGATAAAAGCCCCACAGGCTGAGGAAAACAGCTGCCCGGCCTCCATCCACACAGATCCTCCTGGCCTGGATAAAGACAGCCTCAGGTTAGAATCCACATATTGTACAGCCTGTATTGTGTTTTACAGAGATACGTATGTGCACAGAATATTGTACCTGCCACTGTAGCAGTATGTGTAATGAACATTAACAAAATTTGTATCTTCTGCTATATGATTAGCATTTCTGAATTTCTGATAGCATTTAGACAACTTTTTTTTTTTTTTTTTTTGCTTAGTTAGCTTCAAAATGCAACCAATGCTCCTTCCTGGAAGTTATGCATTTAGATGAAACTGCCTGCCACTCCAAGTCAGTCTAGTCTAAGCAGATACAAGACGTAGTGTTGGTTCAAGCTGCTGAATGTCTGTTTCTTGGTTACGTTAGTGTAGAATTCAAAGGCAGTTAAAATATACTCTAAGGCTACACTACATTATGCCAGTACAATAGCCTGATTTTTTTCAATAATAGTTTGCTGGATTAAATTTGTGCAGCACAATTGTGTAATTTCCAGTTTGATATCAGTGCTGTGTCACTCTTTCAATCCTTAACCACAGACAGGATGATAAAGAAGTTTGTCTGTTTGTCTTATTGTCACAGTAACATGATGGTGCAGCAGCTGGAGGTTTAGTTCAGATCAGCATTTTTACTTTGATATTGCATGGCTTTGGTGAAAACATCTGCTCTACTGTTGAAGCTGAGGCTGCTGTCGATGAGGAATTAGTTTTTTTGCCATGTATTTATTTACGTCATTTAAATTCAGAACCAGGAAATATTAGACTAATGCCTTTAGAACAGTGCAGCAGTCATATCGTGAGAGTAGAGTGAAACCAAATGAAGTTCGGACTGAAGAGAAAGTCTCATATAATTGCCTCAGCTGAGTTGACACTGCAGCTATGAACACACAAAGGTTTTCCAGGACAAATATTCAACTTCAAAAGCCAGAAGATCTCACAAAGAACATGTAAAACAGCTGCTGGATTCTCTAAATGCATATTTGTCCGGAATCAGAATCAACTGAAAAAAAAAAACAATAAGGAATTTTGGGGTCATGTTTGCTTCCACACGATCCCATTAGTTAATTGATTGTTCTAATATGTATGTACTTGTGGCTTCAAGTGAAGACTGTGGTTGCGTACCATCATCTTTGTGAGGCTGCCTTTTTGTCTATTCAGTAACAGAATTCAATCTCATCTTCAGGTTGCGCATTATCCACCTAGAGGGGGAGCTGGCACATCGGGACCAGGAGTTTCAAGCCCAGGAGCTTCACATACAGCATCTCCAGAAGGAACTGGAGGCCAAGATTTCCCAGATTGACAAGCTCCAGGATGCTATTGGCTACAACAACGGCTTGGGCCTTTCTCCAACAGTCATGTGTCGCCGCAGCTGCTGCCGCTTCAGCATCATCAACCAGGGTCCAAGTCGCTTCCACAGAGTGGCCGTGGAGGTCCACCGCCGACTTAAAGCAAAAGAAGGTGTTTCTGCTGAGCCCACCTCAGACAACTTCTGCGGAGGGTTCAGACCATCACACATCTCCACAGCAAAGGCCATTCGTAAAAACTCACAGTGAGTTAAAAGGACACTTACAAAATGTATGGTTTCTCTATGTAACACCCCTCTGTACACTTGAAAGGTACATTAGGTACTTGCAAATTTATTAGTGCAACATTTCAGTCTTAGACCTTCAAATCAAGCATCTCATTTGCCTAGACAGTGTTCAGGAATCTGTTTTGGACCTGTTGGATGTGCCATTCCTCTCCAATGCTCCTGCCTCATGTAATAGATGTGATTGGTTTAAATCACATTAGGTTACCTGTAAAGAGATAATAGTTGTAATTGATTACAATGTGGAAAAAAACCCATTAATTATACTGGAAGCCTTTCTCACACATTATTATTTATACATTCTTGTTTTGACTTGGCAAAGCCAAATGAAAGACTACATACTGGACATCCAACTCACTGTCGCACAAACACATTGCACTCAAGAAAAAAACGAAATATCTTAATAATTGTAGATCTCACATTAACAATAAAATGTTATCTCATGCTTTTGAGATAACAGATATTACACTGTATTCATCACCTAATCAGAAAATTCAGCTACTTGTTGCCTTTACGGTTTTCATCATACTTTGTTGCATGGTTTGCTTTGATAGCTGCTAACAGACAGTACCACAGTGTTTACATCGGTATACAAACTTTGATTTCTTGGGTGCATTTCCCACACCTGAGTTCATATGACACAGAAACTATATGACACAATGTTGACATATTATTGCAACACATCATCTCTGTGACAGAAGCATGCATGATACCACTGCTTTATATCACCTCCAATAACATGACATTACATCATCAGGACATCTAACTGACTGATTATTTACTAAGGCATGGACCTCCACACTAAAAACACTTTTCATGTTGGCTTGGCATATTACTAGGCTCATTTCATATAGTTTTATTTTTCTGCCTAAAAATAGGAGTCACTGTTTGCTTGCAAGGTAGCAAGACACAGGAGAAAATGTCAAACAACTATTTCTTACACGAAAACTCTTTCCTCGACAGAAATCAATCAGTTCTTCAGTTACTCAGAAAGCTGTTTTACTGTCATTCAAATAGTGATCAGCTGTGATCAACACAAACAGAAAATAATTGGCAGCAGGACACAGGAGCTTTGGCAGGCTTTTGTAATACCTCCCAGATCTAAAAGGCTTTATTAGCATGGCAGAATAATAGAAAGACATGGAGGGAAACAAAAGGCTACAGGATCTAAATGCATGGTCTGGGTCATTACTGCTTTAATTACACAACCTATGCTTTCCAACTGGTTTCATACCCAATCAGCATCCTCCTTTTCACTGAATGCAACAGCTCATCATCTGTGTGATGTGGTAATCAGGGACACACACAAACACACACTCAGAGAAATCTGCTGAATAAATTGAAATAGCTAAAATCAGTGCAGTGGCTGAAACCTAACAAATATAGTTGCAAAATTTTATTGGTACAACAAGTATATCTGATATAATAGTATTTATATTGATAGCACTGATTGCATCACATTAGTTATTAAAAATGTATACACCTCTGATCCGGGGCATTCAGATTTGCCTACCATGAGGTTAGCAGTTGGTTTATGCCTTGAAAATACATTCTTAGATAAATATGATAATGTTTAAGCAATGGCAATGCAAGGGAATTGGGAAAACTGCACAAATATATCGGTAGAGCATATGACCTTTTGTTGAAATATCTGATTTTTTAAGGGTGTTCTATATTGTCCAGACTATGAATTGTTATTGATTCATCTCAGTCATTCATTTAGTCTGGTTTGCAATCTAACTCTTGGGTCTTCAGATGAGCCACCCCCACCTGGCATGCTTTCCTGCATTTTGTATCACCTGATCTTCCCCACCTCTCTGCTCCACCAAATACACTTCACTAATCTATTCTTTAGTATTCACACACTTGGTCCACCATTTCACATTTGCCACATTGTCTTTGTGCCTTGTGCCATTGCTTTCCAGTGTTTTTTTGCTTGGTTTGCGCCATGATGGCTTTTTGGACCTAGCCTGTGATCTGGATTCTGCCTCTGCCTACTCCCAGTGTTTGGTTTGCCTGCTTGTTATGTGTAACCTTTTAACAATCTTTTTGAGGTAAAGCTCACTTTTTGCTTCTACCCCCTAGCCTTGAGAGTCATGATTTTTTGTGATTTTAACTCAAATCTGAAAACGCACAATACGAATGTATTAGGCTCTAGTAACGAATTTGCCTTGCCTTGACACTGTTTGATTCTGCTTCTTTTCATCCCAGCACCAGAAAGCTCATCAACAATGCCATCATGAACAATGACTTTCTAAAGAAGCTGGAGCCACAGCACATGAGGGAGATGGTGGACTGTATGTATGAGAAGGTTTACACTGAGGGACAACTGGTCATCCAGGAGGGAGAAGCTGGAAACTATCTCTACGTGCTGGCAGGTCAGCTCAGCAGAAAACGCTGAGAAGCTAAAAAATTGTTAGATATTAGGTCACGCTATAATCGCTGGTCTAGAAATTCAAAAATTTAACACAGTGGAAAAAGTTAATTTCATCAGATGTTACCACCAAGAATTAGTTTTTCCTCCAAGAAGGCATGACCTGTATTATTTACAATCCACATAAATAATCTGTGTGTTAACTTGCCAAATGCCTTGTATCATTTTTATGCCGATGATACAATTATTTATTGCTGCTCTACTTCTGTCACATTGGCTTTTGAATATTTATGATCAGCCTTCAATGTTGTTCAGTCTTGTCTGCAGTGTATAAAACTGGTCTTAAACTCAGAAAAAAAAACTAAACTTATGTTGTTTACAAATACAAGGTTACCAGTAAGCCTCCCAACTATTGTGACCTTCCAGGGTGATCAAATTAAACAAGTTTGGCAAGGACAGTTCAACTGACTTTGTGAAGCTGGTTTGAAGTCAAACAGGGCACAGAAGAAACCCTTCATCAACGAAAGGCAGAGGAAAGCCTGGTTACTCATTGCTGGGGATCACAAGGATTGGACTGTTGATGATTAGGCGAAGGTTCTCTTCAGTGATGAATCCAATTTTCACTTGATGCCACTCCAGCCGGACTCAATCACTCCCGCTTTGAGGTGAGGTCACCTGAGGCTGCTATTCCACATCCAGCGGTCCACAACAACTCCAGCCTCATGGTGGAGGAGTGTAAGGTGAGGGAGACGCTGTGGGAGGCGAATCCAAGGAAGGCAGCTGGACCTGATGGTGTCCCAGGATGTGTGCTGAAGGAATATGTGGACCAGCTGGCTAGGGTCTTTTGCAGGATCTTCAATCAATGCCTTTCAGAGACCGCTACCTAAAGTCCTCCACCATAGTCCCTCTACCCAAAAAAACAACAATCTCTGGCCCTGGTGACTACAGGCCAGTAGCTCTCACCCCTGTGGTGATGAAGTGCTTTGAGAAACTGATCCGAAGTCATATCACATCATTCATCACTTCCACCTTTGACTTCCACCAGTTTCTTTATAGGACTAACAGGTCTACTGAAGATTCTGTGGCTACAGCTCTCCATGCTGCATTGTCCCACCTGGAGCAGCAGGGGATCTCTTCATAGACTTTGGCTCTGCTATTAGTACTATCCTCCCCCAGAGACTGGTGTCCAAACTGATAGATATGGGCCTTCCACTCCACCTGCCTTTGAATAAAGGACTTCCTGTCAGACCGCATTCGGACGGTCAGAGTGTGCCATCACATCTCCACCCCACTCAGTCTCAGCACTGGCTCTCCATAGGGCTGTGTGCTGAGTCCCCTGCTCTATAGCTACATCTACGACTGTACCCCTGCCAACCAGAGCAACACCATCGTCAAATTTGCTGACAACACAACAGTGGTGGGGCTCATCTCTGGGGAGGATGAGTCTGCCTACAGAGAAGAGGTAGATCAGTTGACGGTGTGGTGCAGCGACAACAACTTGCTTCTGAACACTGCCAAGACTAAAGAGCTAATTGTGGACTTCAGGACAAAGAAAAAGGACATTCAGCCTTTATTCATAGGTGGGAACTGTGTGGAAAGAGTGTCGGACTTCCGTCTTCTGGGAGTCTACATCAGGGATGACCTGACCTAGGGCACAAACACAGTTGAGCAAGTGAAGAAGGCCCAGCAGAGACTTTACTTCCTGAGGGTCCTCAGGAACAACAACACCCCCCAAGAAACTGCTGGTATCTATAACTGCTCAAGTGAGGAGCATCACGACTTACTGTATCTGTGTGTGGTTCCCCAGCTGCACAGTCGCACAGAGGAAAGTGCTCCAGCGGGTCACAAAGGTCACCTAGAAAATCATAGGCTGTTCTCTCCCCTCTCTAAAAGAACTACACAGCTTTCACTGCCTCAGGAAAGCCTAAGACATACTGAAGGACCCATTGCACCCGGACCACAATCTGCTGAACTGCTGCCATCAGGCAGAAAATACAGATGCATGAGAACAAGGTCTGAAAAATAGTTTTTATCTCATCATCAATGCATTAAATGCTGCTATAAAATAATTCATTCATTTGTATTATCCATCACTTCCTACATCACCAAGTGTGTTGATGATGTTACGGACACCAAGACCATCATTGTCCGGGCCAATCAGAAGCCATGGCTGACAGAGGAGGTCTACAGGCTCCTGAAGGTTCTTAGTGCTGCCTTCAGAGCTGGAGATGAGGCAGGCCTGAGGACAGCTCGGACCAACCTTCACGCGGCATCAGAGAGGCTAAGAGGCAGTTCTCCAGGAGGATAGCCCACCGCTTCAGTGACAGCAGAGACACCTGGAGTCTGTGGTGGGGAATGCAGATCATTACGGACTAAAAGCCCACACTGCAGACCTGTGGCAGCTCCACCTCTCTGCTGAATCAACTGAACAGCTTCTTCGCTCGCTTTGAAACACAAAACAACACCCCTGCATGCAAGACCCCACCCCCTCCTGGTGACCAGGTGATGACACTGTCCCCAGTGAGTGTGAGGAGATCCCTTAGCAGGATGAACGCACGCAAAGCTCAAGGCCCAGACAGCATCCCTGGTCGAGTACTGAGAGACTGTGCAGCTGAACTCACAGATGTCTTCACGGACATCTTCAACATCTCACTGAGTCATGCTGTTCCCACGTGCTTCAAGGCCACCACCATCATCCTGCTCCCAAAAAAGAAGTCCCCCTGCTGCTTCAGTAACTACCGTCTGGTTGCACTTACCCCATCCTCATGAAGCGCTTCAAACAGCTAGTCATGCAGCACATCAAATCTGTCATCCCCTCCTCCCTGGACCCCTACAAGTTTGCATATCAGTCCAACCATTCAACCGATGATGCTATTTCCACTGCCCTGCACTCAGCCCTCACTCATCTGGACATGAAGGACACATATCTCAGAATGCTGTTCATTGACTTCAGTTCAGCATTCAACACAAACATTTCACAACAGCTCATTTACAGACTGGACCGGCTGGGGCTCAGTACCTTGATATGCAACTGGCTGTTGGACTTCTTGGCAGGAAGACCACAAGCAGTATGGGTCGGCAGCAACACATCCAGCACCATCACAGTGAACACAAGGTCCCCCCAAGGATGTGTACTAACGCCCCTCCTCTTCACTCTGCTGACCCACGACTGCACACCGAGTTACAGCTCCAGCCTCTTCATCAAGCAGATGACACAACAGTAAGGGGTTCACATCAGCAACAGTGATGAACAAACTACAGGAGCGAGGTGAGCCGCCTGGCCATGTGGTGCAGAGACAACAATCTCTCTCTGAATGTAGATAAGACGAAAGAGAGTGTTGTGGACTTCAGGAGAGCGCACCAAGTTCCTGGGTTCCATGGAGGACCTCTCCTGGACTGACAACACTGCATCACTGGCCAGGAAGGCTCAACAACATCTGTACTTCCTCCACAAACTGAGAAGAGCCAGAGCCCCAGTCCCCATCATGTGCACCTTTTACAGAGGCACCATTTTTATACTTTTTTTTCTATGTTCATTTTGCATGTATGTTCTACATATGGCAGAACTGACAATAAAGCTGACATGGCTTGACTTGACAAACATAAAGTGAAGCTCACTTTAAGAGATTGTGCAATAACTGTTGCACGTAGATGTCTGTTGGGTTTGTCTGTAATGCGTTTTGTAGTATAATAATTATATTGTATGATATTGTCTTATCTTTTTTACAGCATTTTGGTTCCTTTTATTTTTGCACTGATTCAGGTTTGCACTTGATTTTCGTTGTACATGTTACAATTACAGTAAAGATATATTCTATTCTATTCTATATGCTATATTTGTCAAAACAAATATACCTTTAGTTGTACCAGGCATTAAAATGAACAAGAAATTGAAGAAGGTGGTCTAATATTTTTTTTCCATGACTGTGTATGCAAAGGTCATAGATGTAATGTTTCTTAATCATACAGGTTGTAACTCTACTTATAGTGTGACTCACCAAATGTAGACTTTGTGTAAGTCTGCAGTTTCCACTATGCATTTCATTTGGCTTTCCCCTCCTATTCAATTCCTGTGTTACCCAGTTCAAAATGACCACAGAACATAACAACAACAACAACCCCAGAGCAGCAACCTATATGCAAGTTTCGCTAAAGATATGAATCACGCACTTGGGCAACCCTGTTTGATAATTTGGTGAATGACAGTACTTGCCTCCCTGCATTTAAATGTTCCAGCAAAGCAGTTCCCCCATCACTATGTCACAGAGCACCATTGCCTGGGTGTAACCCAAGGTGACTGGGATTGGTTGACAGAAATCCCATACATAAATGATGTACAAAAAAAAAAGAAGACAACACTAACATAGCACACTGCCACTATTTTGAAAAGTTTTACTTATCTTGTAATGACAAAGATCTTCTAAAACCTATACAAATAAATAAAAAAAATGTAGCTGATAAAATGAGTTTGAGCTTTTTTTGTTTTTTCCTCACACAGAGGGCTTGCTGGAGGTCATCCAGAATGGGAAGCTGCTGGGTGAGATGCATCCTGGTACAGCATTTGGAGAACTAGCCATACTGTACAACTGTAAGAGAACAGCCACGGTTAAAGGTGAGAGAAGGCAATATTCCCCTTAAACAAGTCCAAAGTAATCATAGTTCTTGATACATATCACCTTTGGGATTACATACATGTATCTTATACTTATTATCTTGTGTATCTATAACAGGTATATCTATATCAGCGGTAACTCCTAGCTGTGTGGTATACGAGCAGCTTAATTCTATACACTCTATATGCAATACATCAGATGTTTTCTATGTGAAAATGCATGGTCCCTGTTGAAATAAATAAATAAATGAAATTAAATTCATATATGAGCAGACGAGTGTTCACAAAGGGGGTTATTAAGTACTTTTAATACTCCTAAATTACTCATTCATATATTACATATTGTATAATACTTTGCTGATATTTTCTTGCTTACAAAAATCTATGCTCAGTGTAATAGATTGGTGTTGACAAATATTTTTCTTGTAAATGTACATTTTTTGCATTTTGGCAGAACATGCCAACGATATTAAGAGCCTAATGAAAAGGAGATTGGAAATCTTACCATAATTCTTTGCTAAATTATCTGTTTGTTTTCTAAACTGTGGTATATGACGCTCTGTTACTCAATGTACCATAAAATTACCCACTTTATTGAGAAGGACCCTTAATTGTGCCCACAGTGACTGGAGAGTAATAAGCCATTAATTGTTCCACTCTCATCCAGCTGTGCCTCAGTCTCACATCTGGGCCCTGGACCGCCAGACCTTCCAGACCATCATGATGCGGACCATACAGGCCAGACATGAAGAGTACTTCAGTTTTCTACGCAGGTACAAAATAACTCACAGAGTCTGTGTGTCTTCTCTCAACATCAGGTGTTGTGAAGAGGTTGGGAAGATCCTCCAAACTAGTTCAGATTTAACAGGCTGCTGAATTTAGTCTTTGCAGTTTAAGATCTGTTCTTAGCATGGGATAAGACTGTGGTCAAATGTTTGTGTGTACTCTTAATATTACTGTAACATTTGGGTTAGTGCTCACAAGTGTGCAGTCACAAACAGGCTCTTACTCATGTAATAACACTCCTGCTTTTTTAGAGAATCATGTCACTATGACATGATGTAAATGCAGAAGCTGGAAGCTTTATGTTTTAATAATAATCAGTAATATAATAATCACAGGGCTGCGCGTTGGCTTGGTGGTTAGCACCGTCTCCTCGCAGCTAGAGGGCTCCTGGTTACGTCCCGGTTAGGACGCGCGGTATCCTTCTGCATGGAGTTTACATGTTCTCCCTGTACAGCGTGGGTTCTCTGAGGGTTCTCCGGCTTCCTCCCACAGTCCAAAAACATGTTGAGGTTGTCTGTCTCTAAGTGTAGCCCTGTTATAGACTGGCAACCTGTCCAGGGTGTCCCCTGCCTTCGCCCTGAGTTCGGTGGGATAGGTTCCAGCCCCCCAGCAACCCTAGTGAGGATTAAGCGGTGTATAGATAACGGATGGATGGATAATAATCACAGAAAATAACAATCAATTCATCAACAGAAGCAGATGTTGCTGCCTCTGTTGTTTTCAGTGCAAACACAGCATCAGAGAAAGTTGGTCAGCTGCCAGTCTCATGAACACAGGCTGTTTACTGAGACTACAGTGGTCCTGAAAGCTCAGTGCACTCCACCAAAAAGATAAAATAGATACACCACATCAAATGTCTTTACTATTTGGAGAATATTTGCAGCATTCACAAACATGTGTTTATTAAGCGGTATATAGATAATGGATGGCTGGATGTACAGGTTGGTAGGAGCACAGGTAACTGGAGGTAGTGTGCACTTCTAGGCCAATATAGTTTCATTCAAATTGAGCAAATGTGTCCTCATGGTCTTCAGTCTGCCCATTCTGTGTCTGCTCTGAAAACAAATCTGGAGTATGTACACAGCCCTGGCTCTGTAAAAGGGAAAAGGGCATGGAGAAAAGGGGGAGAATTGTAGACTGGGGACAGTAGGAGCAAGATAAACGGTAAATCTAAGACAAATGTAGCTTGGTAAACATCAACAATCTCTTTTCAGAATTAACATCTTTAATAGGAGAAATAAAGCAATGATATACCTCCAAATATCAGGTGGACTTCTAATGTGAAATTATCAGTCATGTTTGGTTGAGTTAGGTTTTAAAAATGCAGTGCACAGGCTGCATTCAGATCTGAGTTTTAAACCTGAGCAAAAATAGGTCTTATACAGGGGTCTACAGATATTTTAATGTTTGAAACCAGCACGATCTTACATTCTTCTTATAGTCCACATTTAACCCATACAGGCAGAAGATGAACATACTGGGCGTGCAAGCACAGATACTCATTAATTTAAATTCAATTATTCTATAAATGTCAATAATGTCACAATTGAAAAGTTGTTAATAAGAATTAAGACTAAAATAACTCAGTAAGTACGGCTTTAATAATGCCAATCATTGACTTCTAACATTTAAAGTGTGTTTGCTGTTACCTCTAAAAACACTGCTTGCTGTACCATTTACAGTAATTAATGCTAATTAACCAGCAACTGTGTCAACATTTGTACTGAATGTTTGTATTTTTTTTTCTGCAAGTGTGTCACTGCTCCGTGAACTGCCGGAGGAGAAACTGGCCAAGATTGTTGATTGTCTTGAAGTGGTGAGTACTTCACCTACTTCAACTCTTTGTTTGTTGCTGATAATCATCTTTTTATCTAATTCTGTACAGCAGCTGTATCTGACTAAATAATTCAGGTTGTGTCTAAATGAAAAAGTGATTGACTAACATTTGTCTTTCCAGGACTACTTTGAGAAAGGGGAGTACATTATTCGAGAGGGTGAAGAGGGGAACACCTTCTTTATTATTGCAAAAGGAGAGGTGAGATATCTTCACAATCTTTTCGAACATGTCCTCTTAAAAAAATAGTTTTTTCTGTAAGGATTACCAACACTCTCAAATTCAGATGGAACTCTCTTTCAAAGATTAATCTGCTGCTCTTCTTTCTGTACTTGGGTGGCAGCTACTGCAGCTCACAGACATACATATCAGAGCTGAGCATTTTTACATGACGATGAGTTCCTTTGCAAGTGTAGATAGTTACAGTACTAGTAAGTTAGAGGTGCGTCTGCTGATGTGGTTGTCAGTTGAAAATAGAAATAAAAAGCATTCAGGGATTTTGACCACCGACATATTCCAGCGGGAGGTTGGAGACATATGTGGCATTTCCAGCCACCACTGAGCAGGATCATGCCGGCAGTGTTGGATGCCATAACTCCCCTGACCCCAGTCTACATCCAGCTTACAGCCAACCCCAAATGAACCGAAATTAAACAAGGACTTCACACCATCGCTAGATCCCCAAACATAATTGGAGCCACAGACTGCACCCACATCGCAATCAAAGCAGCATCACTAAATAAATTTAATTATGTTAATCGAAAAGGGTTTAATTCAATCAACGTTCAAGTAATTTGCGATGCACATTTGTCACTATCAAACGCTGTTGCCCAAAATTTCACCAAACAATTTTTACTGGTTATCATATGCCTCGCTGACACTTACCTAAATTTCAGTTTCCAAAAAGTTCGCTCTTTGTCGCCCTCTTTGCCATGATGGTTGAAGGTGGGGGGGAATATTCACTTGTTTTATAAAGAGGCATGTTGTTGCCGTATATGATTAATTGGAGGCATTCCTGAAGGCAAATTATCCTGAACATGCACAAGCATGGTGGTTAAGAACTTGTGGGATTTATCAACACGGATGTGCGTATGACCCACGTACACGTTTGATAAATACAGATTTTTTTTGTACTTCCGCACAGTCTAAATTTCATTTGTACAACAGAGTAAAGAACCTTTTCTACGCACTGATGATAAATGAGGCCCCAGGAACCTTTCTGACATACCTCGTATGGGTTCACATGCCTCGTACATGAAACTGCAATCAGTGCTAAACCAATAATACAAAAACTCATGATGGTTTAGATTCCTCATTTTTCCTTATTTCAAAATAAGAGCATACTGGTATAATATAAGCTATTCTAAGATTAGCTAATCGGTCCTCAAACTGAAAGAATAATCATCTTAATTCTATGATTAAAATGAATGGCAACACATAACAGTAAAACACTGATAAAAATTCTGCTGCCTAATTCTGTTCACTTTTATCTGTAGGTCATAGTCACTCAACGTACAGAAGGCTTTGCTGAACCTCAAGAAATTAATACCTTGGGAGTTGGAGACTACTTTGGAGAGAAAGCTCTCATCAGGTACAATCAAAAGAGGACACAGTAAAAGACCTAAAATCAAACACATTTTACAGATACACAGCGCTGCAGACATTGCATTGGATTTCATAGAGATTTGTTTCTCTGGGAATCTGTCCTGTCTCTACTGTCAACTTCATATTAAGATGGCATCAGGCTTTAAGCAGTGATGCCTTTTGAGTTATTCATAGAAGATGAGCATAAAATGGGACAAAATTACCAATAATTTGATACCTAAAAAGAGCACTTTGGTAACTTTAAATTACACTTACACAATGTTAAAGACATTAATTAAACAAGCAGAATGATTAAAAAATATATATAATAATAAATTAAAGCAGCTCAACAGAGATCTCTTAACTTTAATCTTGAGTGAGGAGAAATCCTAGGTTTCCCACTATGCAGCTTAATTGCTTCTTCCCATATCAGCCCAAGCCTTCCAAACTTTGCATTCGAAGTGTGTTAACATGTGTGTTTACACTAGGTGAGCTTGGGCTGAGAACAGTGAACCAGGAGACCACAAGCTCACCTGGATGTATCAGAAACAGTGCAGCAAAAAAGTATAAGCTTAGGGGAGACCAGGTTAAGCTAAGGGACAAACCAACAATTCTTACCCCCACAATTACTGATGTTTGGTCACTAAACATCAAAAAGAAACGCATTGTATTTTTGAGAAAATTTCAAACCAGCTTAAGTGGTTTCTATGTTTTTATTTTCTCAGAAGTGTGGCTGAATGCAAATGTGCTGGAGGAAGTAGCCTCACAATCCCAGTTACTTCTCTGTCTGGTACAGTTACATCCCCCTTCACATCACTCCAACCTGCATTCAGACCAGAAATGAGATAGACTGATCATTAAAAAGTGAGAGCAAGATTCAATCCCGGCACTGCAAGTCTGTTTTTAGTCCAAATAATAGGAAACCTGCAAGGAGGCAGTCACATGTGACAGCAGCACTGACTTGGGGGAAAGACCCAACTGTTGCAAAACCATCGGGACTTGCATCAAACAGAAGCCCTGGCTGGTTAGGGAGGCCCACTTGTTCTTATGGACACCAACCAGATCGGGTAAGCAAACAGACTAACTAGGAGTAGCCTATCCCTGAGTATCAGTGAAGAAAGGCACCTGTATGGACAGAGGCTCAAAAATGACTTTGCTGAAAACAAGGACCCATCCCAGACAACAAGCATTCCTAACCATGTAGGACATAATCCCTCCCTACCAAAACAACTCAGCAACTTCTACAAACAGTTTGAGGCCGGCAACAAACTTCCAACACATAATTTATAGAATCTTAGGTATATTTTCAATACAGTATATTACAAAAAATATGTTGTACAGTACTTGGAAACAAAACTTAAGTTTCGAGAAAATTATACCAAAGCTGCTGGATGACAATGAGATCAGGAAAATCTCTCTAAAAATTAAAAAATCAGATGGTGGGGATATATGTACATATAAAATCTATGGTGCATGTTCCCAAAACAGAACACTCACCGATGCTTGGTTACAGTATTATTGTCTTGGAGTGGAACACTAAGAGAAAACAGAAATCTTCAAAGAATGAAAGACATGTCAGTCATTTATGAAGTAGTTCCCTTATTTACTGTACCCCATAAGCAGTAGTGACACAGTATGCCTACAATTTATATTTTTTTAAAAAGTAACCTATAATTTAGTCCTGTTCTTGTTAAGCCCTCATACCCCATGGTTTAGCTACCTTCCACTGTACCAACTTTTAAGCATCAGTATGGACAATTCAAATGGCACATCTGTAGTTATACGCTGTGGGTTTGTGTTGTGTCTGACTGTAATGTGCATGTATGTTTACAGTGAAGATGTTCGCTCAGCCAACATTATCTGCAATGAGAACGATACACACTGCCTGGTGGTGGACAGAGAGTAAGTAGCTGAATGTTGTTCACGTGGCATGTTTTTAGTAGGACCCATGTCAACACCCTTTAGATCTTATTCACTCTGACACATGATAACAGATGACGATTTTAAAGTGAGTTTTTGAGTGTAGTCTTTCACATAATCTCAGTGACTGTTTAAGTCTACTACAGGCTGAACTACAGTCACTGGTTGCCACTGAGTGAAGATTAACGTGTACAATAAATATTTTTTAGAAACTGGCCACTGGTTTGTCCCTGTGAGGTCACAAATGGAGAAATATATTTTAAAATACAATGTAGCTGCTGTTTTTAAACATACATTATGAGTCACGGTCTGCAGGGTGGCGCAGTTGGTAGCACTGTTGCCTCGCTGCAAAAAGGTTGCCGGTTCGCGTCCCGGTGGGGGCACCGGAATTTTTCTGTGTGGAGTTTGCATGTTCCCCCCGTGCAGCGTGGGTTCTCTCCGGGTTCTCCGGCTTCCTCCCACACAGTCCAAAAACATGTTGAGGTTAATTGGTGATTCTAAATTGTCCGTAGGTGTGAATGTGTTTGGTTGTCTGTCTCTAAGTGTAGCCCAGCGGCAGACTGGTGACCTGTCCAGGGTGTCCCCTGCCTTCGCCCTAAGTCAGCTGGGATAGGCTCCAGCCCCCCCGCAACCCTAGTGAGGATTAAGTGGTGTATAGATAATGGATGGATTATTAGTCACATTCACCTTGCTTTCTGCCTTCACTGGATTAAGCATATTCTGGTACAGATATGTACATGGATAGCTGTAGATACCCATGGACACGTAGTTGTTATTATTAGGTTGATGTCATACTATCAGCGCCCGCAAGTTTGTGACATGACGTAAATTTTATTTACACAAATCCACAAATGTCTATAAGGACATGAAGTACTGCTCATGCTCAGTAGTAGTGTGTATGCACAGAATATATAAATACAACCTACTGCTTATGTTTGCACCAGAGTCTTCCAAGCAGACTTCTGTGGACTGAAAAAGCAGTATAATAAAAAGAACTACAAGTCAGTACTCTTCTGCAGCTGTCTTTTTGCAGATCAAGACTTTTCTGGTCTGCAGGAGTCCACTTGGAGGATGAAGTTTGTTTTTCAGCCATCACACACATCCTTAATTCAGAGTGAATGTGCTCAGTATAGAAGTTTGACCCCTGATGGCCAGTGTTCACTTGACCAGTGAAAAAAAAAACACACGCATCTCCTCCGCATTCACACAAAAAGAACAAATAAGATCTCATTTGGCTGCTCTGGTCTGTGCAGTCTGCGCATTTAATATGTTATTTTCCGTGCTATTCAAGAGCACTGGAGGAAATTACCCGGCAATTTGATGAAGTTGATCAACTCAGACAGTATATGGTCACATTTAACACCCAGTAGTTTAGGTTGAGTTGCCTCTCAACTGAACTCACACCTATAGATAAACTGGATGCAGTGGATTTAGCAAGAACATCTCCACCACCATGTACAGTTATGAAGAAAAGTTTATATACTTTTGTAAAGACCATGTACACTCCTGGTCACCACTATTGGCACCCATGAAATTTAAATACATAATGTAGAATATCTCTTGAAAAAATAAATCTAGTGAAACAGCTTTGGTCTACAGACGACTCATGTTTGATACAGAACAGCAAATGATAAAACAACAATTAAAAAAAAAAAAAAAGCAATAGGAGGCAAAAAAAAAATAGAGAAATTGAAATTGAAAGATTGCAGTGACATTGGTATTGGCACCCTTTAAATCAGCGTAGGAAAACCCCACATTTTTACTCAGCTGTGATTAATCAGAAATTAGAATGATGATAAACTGTCAGTGCCCACATGACATGCATTAGCCAATGAATGATGACTTTATTGTTTTAAAAAGCCACATGTTATTCCCTGTTCCTTTGTCACAATGGTGAAGGCAAGAGAGCTGTCTGAGGACATCAGTAGTGCAAAATTAGCAAACACAAGACTTCTAAAGGGTATAAGGCCATCTCCAAGGACTTTGGTATCCCTGTTTCAACAGTGCGCAATGTTGTTAAGAAGTTTGCTAAGCATGGAACTGTCAAGAACCTGCCTGGACATGGGGGGAAGAGGAAAATTGATGAGAGAAGTCTTCAAAGGTTGGTGCGAACTGTGGAAAAAACCCCATGTAAAACATCCAAAGACCTGAAAGCCAACCTGGAAGAATCTGGGGTAATGGCTTCAACATGCACCATGCACGGCACACTAAACCAAATAGGATTTCGTGGGCGAAGTTCCAAGGAAGGCTCCATTGCTGAAGAAAAGACATTAAAAAATAACGACTGATCTTTGCCAAAGAGTACCTGGACAAACCACAATCCTTCTGGGAAAATGTTTGGTGGATAGACGACACAAAAATAGAGCTTTTTGGCAATGCATGCCAACAATTTGTTTACAGATGGCGCAATGAAGCACATTGTTGTGATGTCTCTGAACTTATGTGGTCCCAGTATTTACAGCCGCCACAGGCATCTGGTAAAGGATGAAAGAAGCATTCAATTCCATTTAATTTAACTCTTTAATGAACTGAGGTTGTAGCTGAGTGTGGTCTACAATAAACAGAACAATGAATACAAATCAAATAAAATGTCCAAAAGTAGCTATGAGCATAAATGGTGTCAGTAGCAACAAGTTAGAAAACACTTCTTTTAAATAACGAGATTATGATTAATATTATAAACTACTTGAGTCTCAGTCGTAATATATATAAACTTTCAACAATATATCTTAAATATACACTTCTTACAATAAATGTCTGAAAAACTTACTTTGGTTTTATTTACTCAAACCCAGAACAAAGGAACTGAGGGTGGAAGAAAAAAGCATCCACACTTTTGCACACGCTCGGCCAAACTGAATCTATACCTGCTAGATGGTCGACTGTCATTGGCTACTCAGAATGCACATGGGCCAATCATGCAATCCAGTACTCAGGTGACTGTTACGGGTCTTAAATGGGCACACACACATCTATCTAGGGCATTTTCAACACACATAAAGGAAAGCACACCCTACCAACGGTTAAGCATGGTGGAGGATCCATAATGTTGTGGGGCTGCTTTACTGCATCTGGTACTGGAGGCCTTGGCCGTTTCACAGAAATTATGAAATAAGAGGATTACCAAGAGATGTTGGAGTGAAATGTGCCACCCAGTGTAAGAAGACTGGGTTTGTGTAGAAGATCATGGGTTCTCCAGCAAGATAAAGACCCAAAGTACACATCCAAAAGCACGCAGGAATGGTTGAAAAGGAAAAAATGGACTGTTTGAAACTGGCCAGTGATTAGTCCTGATCTTAATCCCATCGAAAATCTATGGCAGGAGCTGAATTCTGCCATTGGGGCAAGGAATCCTGCAAATGTTCAAGAGCTTGAACAAACTGCAAAGGAAGAGTGGGAGAAAACACCAGCTGCAAGCTTATAGATGGCTACAAGAATCGTTTGGGCGCAGTCATGGCTGCCAAAGGGTATGCAACCAGTTGTTAGGGAGGGGTGCCTTTATTACTGTCCATGCAATTTTTTCTATTTCCTCTTGGAAACTACAACATGTAGATTGGAAAACATTTTTTTTTTTTTGTTAATTTACTTTAGACATCCAATTAAGAATTTCTGATCATATGAATTTGGTACATTTCCATTTATTTGTGAAGATATTGTAGAGGTTCTGCAAAAAATGAAAGGGTGCCAATAGTGGTGACCAGGACTGTATATCATGGCAGTCGTGACTTTCCAATGAGTCCTATCACTCAAAATTTTCTGTGATGGAATCATTGAAACCCATGCCAACTATGGTTCTTTGATAGATTTATCGTAGGACTTCTTGAAATATGACTTAAATTCTCAGTTTTTGTGATGTAGAAAGTTGTTATTCAGATTTTGTTAGCTTCGTGGCCTCTTTACTTCTCGCGACTGATTGCGTTTGACTACAGCTGATGACTCCTCTAAGACAAGTCTAAATAGGGCCCACTTGATACATTCATTAGACTCAGACAGCAACACTACAATGGGAAAGTCTGACGAGCTCAGTAAAGATTTGAAAAAGCAAATCAATGACTTAAAAAAGTCAGGAAAGTCACTTGGAGCCATTTAAAGCAGCTACAGATTCCAAAATCAACTGTGCAAATAGCTGTTTATAAGTATAAAGTACATAGCACAGTTGTATTACTGCTATGATCAGGACGAAAACAAAAGCTATCACCTGCTGCTGAGAGACATTTGTTGACTCCACTCACCACCATAACTACGTATGAAACCTTGGAACAATAATGTACCCATGACAGTCGAATCCTGTCCACTCTCAACTTACAGATTATTTTCATTTAAGAATGTCTTAATATTAGGGTGCCACTATAGCTCACCTGGTTGAGCTGGCGTCCCATGTACAGGGCTACAGTCCTGATGTGGAGCTCATGAGTTTGAATCCCGCTCATGGCCCTTTCCCACACGTCCTTCCCCCATTCTTCTCCCCCACTTTCCTGCCTCTCTCTCACTACACTATCAATAAAGGGACAAAGGCCAAAAAAATAACTAAAAAAAAAAGTCTTCATATTATGTACAAAAATATTATAGTTGCGGTGGCTTAGTGTGGCTGACCCAGCCTCCTGGCATAGGCAAAAATGTGTATGTGTATGTGTGTGTGTGTGTGTGTGTGTGTGTGTGTGTGTGTATGTTAACTTTGATACAGAGAGGTTAGTTTTTCAGGGTCAATCAAACAACTGCCTAGTTCTATTTTTTTTTTTCTAACAATTTAAGAATCCCTAATCCAATTTTTAAAAAAATGTAAAATCCAGGACCCATTGCCACCATGCACACCCACACACACTGTATTCAAAGTTGTCCCTGTCTTTGCCCCCTGCCCCTTGACTACAGAAATTTCAACCAAATGGTGGGAACTTATGAGGAGCTTCAGGCCTACCTGAAGGAATATGTGGAGGAGCTTTCCAGGAGTGATGAGAGAAGAAATGCCCTGTAAGTGAACGAGAACTGAATGATCGAACAAACAGATGTGCTAACTGTCATTCGGCCTCCCAATAAGATGACAGTGGTGATGATTCACTGCATGTCATAAAGTCAGTCTTGTGTTTCCAGTTATAGTGGTGAAGTCTAGGCCTTACAGCAAGGGTTCAGATGTAACCATGTGTCCTTTTCTCAGGCCCCACTCACCTCAGATTAACTCTGCAGAGGCCAGGGAGCTGAGGAGGCTGAAGGAGAGGATCGCACTCCTGCATGTGCACCAGCCTTTCCGGGATCTGGAGGTCGTAGCTACACTGGGCATGGGAGGTTTTGGACGAGTAGAGCTAGTAAGCTGCAACAACAACATACTTCCTTAAATGTCATTCAGTATTCAGTTCTGCTTTATAATGGACATGATTTAAAAGAATTCTGTTTACTGCTACTGTCCGAGCAAAAATGTTTTCAGTGCAGTAAACAGATGGAACTATACTGAAAAGTATTTCTCCATAAACAAGGAGGTAGGGTCTGTGATGTAATCCTTCATTTGCATTATTTACATCAGTGGTCCCCAGGCACCGGTACCGGGCCGTGGGTCATTTGGTACCAGGCTGCACAGAAAGAATAAAAATGTTTTATTGGTTTATTTTGTTTCCAGCAGAGTCTGCAGGGTGTTTTATTTTGAAAAATGACTAGCTCGTCTTCCTGTAACTTCCGGCTGTGCTTGTTTCCCACACTTGTCTCGGTCAGTTTTCATGCCCGACTGTTAATATCTATTCTAACCGCTGCCAAAATGAATAAAAAAAAAAACTTTTCTGGAGAGATTCTTTGAAAAGAGGATGAGATGCTGAGATGGAAGAAAAAGTGAATACTTATTTAGCAATAAGAAGTAATTTGATTTGTTTCTGACACTTTTTTAATAGAAAAAACAATTATTATTTGTTATGTGCGCAATGATCCATTTTGTAGAAAATAGTTTTGCTTGAAACCGGTCCATGGTACAAAAAAGGTTGAAGACCGCTGATTTACACCATGTGACAGGGAAACCCAGAACAGTCCAAAATTGTGACCGAAAACCCAACATAGAACACTTTTTTCTTTTTTTTTCTCTTGGTTGATTTAATTTTGTTTTCTCATTCTTATTTACATTTATTTATTATTGATTATTATTATCTTTTGTTTTGTTGATTTCACTGTTTATGTTTGAAATAAAAAAAAAAAAAAAAGCTATAGATCAGTTCAGCTGTAGTAAATGAAGACTCTGGGAAGGACACATAAATGCAGTTTGGTTTCCATGAAAACTCTAATGTCTGCTACAACTGTATGATGAGTTGTTGATGAATTGTTGTTGTTTAGTTTTGGTTTCAGGAGTTATTTAGATCAACTACATCCAAAAGGAGAAAATGTGGTATTCAAGTAATTAATTATTTGATGCATAAAGTAATTGAACCACTGGCAGATTAGTTTGTAGTCCAGAGTAGGTGTCAAGCTCCAAAAATGCAGGAGCCTGCATTTATCAACACACACTTCAGTTATTAACCCAGATGAAATCACCTGGATGACTTCTTTAGTCTTTGAGAAGCTGTTTTCAAACGTTGTTTGCTGCTCCTTATGATGAGTAAACCTGACTAACAGGGAAAACTGGCAGAGTATCCCTTTAAGAGCAAAAGACATTTCTCAAACAGTCTTACAGTTTAACAGTTGGTTAAACTGAATGTAAAAGTTTATCTTTTCATAAATTTGTGTGACACACATTTTGGGTTAAGCTGCAATACACATTTCTTGTCACTGATTTTTTGTGTCTTGCTTTGCTAAGCGTGCACCTCTCTGCTGTTTCTCAGGTGAAGCTTAAGGATGAGGACACCACATTTGCTCTGAAGTGCATTAAGAAGAAGCACATAGTAGAAACCAGGCAGCAGGAGCACATCTACTCTGAGAAAAACATCCTACAGCAAACAAACTCAGCTTTCATCATCAAGTGGGTGTGCTTGCCAAATCAACATAATATATTATGGTTTATTTCTAAAGCAGATTCAATCTACTAGAAACCTCCTGTAGCTGACAATACTGGAGGTGGTCAGTGTGTTGGCTTCTCAGTGGAGTTGCTAAGGACACTGCTGTGGGGGAATGCTGCTGACCCAGGTTCCATCACTACACCAAGATTTATCTGGACTATGACTTTAACAAACAAAGGCTGTGTGTAAGCAGTCTGTTGACTGTCATTCAAGGAAAAGTTCAGCCAGAATCTGGTGCTTCACTAATACTACACTCCACCTGCCACTCAGTTCCCTCTCATCAGTTCAGGGGTTCTTTACAGGATTTCCAAGAATCTGAGAATGCTAGAAGTTTGTGGGCTATACATTTTAGAAAGGGAACTGTTTCAGAGCAGCAGTATCAGCAGTTGTCATCTGCACTTTTCCCTTTTTTGGTGATTGTTTCTGTACCAACAGAAGTTCTAGACCTGTTGTGGCCATCATTATGATATATATATATAATAGAAGCCAACACACCGACCACCTCCAGTATATATATATATATATATATATATATCATTATGATGGCCCTGCACTACCAATACAAGACATGAATGCTGTTTATTGAATACTTGCACCATTACCAGCACAATCAGTTATTTAGTTAATTTCATATATTTTACAGCTACATATTTGACTTTATGTTCGTGTTACTAATACAGTAGGGGGAATTACTTTGTGCTTTTAATGCAACCCAATAGCTGACATGGCTGTGCCTGTATTTCAGATTATTTCGAACGTTTCGAGACAACAAATATGTGTACATGCTGCTGGAGGTTTGTCTTGGTGGAGAGCTGTGGACTGTGCTGCGGGACATGTGAGTGTAGGTCCTTCAGTTAAATTCATTCATCAGCTACAAATGTGGACATCCAGAAACCATTATTTAAAGAGTAACGAAAAACAGTGTTTCATTTCCAGTTGTTGCAGTCTGTCTGTAATAGTAATGTACAGTACACTGACACATTGTGGAGTATAGTTCTTTATGACTGCAGTAAAACATTTAAGTCACTATTTAAAGCAACACTAAGCCTTCTCACTGTTTTAGCAGCTTGACAATAGAGTAAGCGTGTGTTCAAGCTTATTGTCCTACAAATTTAGACTTCAGGAAACAATAGCCCACCTCAGGATCCTGCTTTAAATAGTATATATAAGTGAAGTATAACTATATAATAATAAAATGTAAAAAAGCAAACTTTGCAGTAAAATATGATGATGTCTTTAAAAGAGATGCAGCCAAACCTCACCGAATGGAACACCACATGGAAAACATAGGAATGAACACAACACATTTTAAAATGTTTCTCCCAACTAATGTACATGCCTGGAACTGTCCATGAATCTGAACTGTGTATATTCATGGGATATATTATGTCATTAATCAGGTCAACTTTTTCTAACCTACCAGGAGTTATTTTGATGAGCCCACAGCAAGGTTTTGTATTGGTTGTGTCTTGGAGGCCTTTGACTACCTCCACACTATGGGCATTGTGTACAGAGATCTGAAACCTGAAAACCTTCTGCTGGATTCAGAGGGCTATGTCAAAATGGTAAGTCACTGTTGAAAATATTTGTGACAGTCGATTAAAGGGTGTTTTGTACTCTATGCCTGCTTTATTTGTATTACTAATTCCTCAGTATTTCCACAGGCAGACTTTGGCTTTGCTAAAAAGATTGGTCTTGGAAAAAAGACCTGGACATTCTGTGGGACTCCTGAGTATGTAGCCCCAGAGGTCATCATGAACAAAGGCCATGACTTTGGAGCTGATTGTTGGTCCCTGGGAATCCTCATATTCGAACTTCTCACTGGCAAGTAAGTCAGAACGGTAAAATATTCTAAACTGCTAAACCTTGCACTTCTTGAAGAGGAAATTCTTATAACAGAGTCGTTAGCTTTTCACTCTTCGGTTGCTGTTTGAATACTTTGGATATCTTTCAGAAGTGCATGAAAGGTTTGATGCAACAACACTATTGATCATCATCAGCTAACTGTGCAAACTGCATAATTGATGGCAGATTATCTGACCCAGACAAAGTATATCAAGGATGAGTACTAAAGGTCTGAGCACCGAGCCTAAGGGCATCCAATGGTTGACAGGGACAGGGCAACATTTTAAAAATCACTGATAATACTGTTTCCTGCCATTATTGATGCCTGATCAATAAAATTCAGGTATATTAACTGAAAAACAGAATTGCCATAGGATATTTTATTTAATGTACAATTTATCATTTTAGTTACACTTTCATTGGTCTGACTCACCTGATGTAGGCTCGGAGTATAAACCTGTCACTGGCCACTACTGTTTCCAAAGTCCCCTTTGCTCCCCATGCAAATTTTCCACCAAAATAATCATGCCTGCCACTTTTTAAAGAGAACACCGAAGCTGCATCCTTTACTTAGATCCACCAGAGACAATTAGAATTTGTTGAAAGAAATACAAACAGGCCTACGTCCAGTGACTCAGACTATTTCCCTTATAACAGAATCCTATTGAGGGGATGACAGACCACCGTGTACTACTAAATTGGGTGGCTAAATGAAGTCATACTTCTGTAAACTCTGATTTTTATAATCAAACTGCTTGCTCCACCAAACATACTGTAGGAAGGCAGCATCTGGTGGACTCATGGTTGAGGCACATACCACATCACTGCAGTGATCGAGTTCAGATACTGACTGGAGGAGCTTTGATGTGCGTCATTCTGGGCAATCAGACACCGACATGATGGACAAGAATCTAAATATCTGTGTCTAAACCTTTCTACAGTACTTATAGGGCGTAAGCATTTCAGTTAGTCAGTCAATCCCGCTGATGCTGTTAACTTCAGCTGATTGTACATTATTTTGTAGACGTCACTGACACAGTGAGAAGTCTTTGACTATTGCATTGCAGCATTTTAGTATGAGTAATAAAGGAAAATTCAATATTTAGGGAAATATTTACTTTCTTACTGACAGTGAGTTTACCAGATGGATAGCAGTCTTGTGTCTTTGTGATAAGTACAGAGAGGACCAAGGTTAGCCTACCTTAACATAAAGGCTGGAAGTAGGGGGAAGTAGCTTGATGAATAGATTGATATCAGTCTTTTAATTTTGTTCTCAAAAGGAAAGAAAATCCTGGTATTTCTCAAAATTGTGAGCTCATCTTTTGGAAACAAAACAAAACAAAAAAAAGTGCAGTTTGCGTTATCATTTTTGCGCTAAGCAGGAAATGTGAAAAGTTGTTTTCCTTCCAGCCCACCCTTTTCTGGCTCAGACCACATAAAGATTTACACCATGATCCTCCATGGCATCGAGAAGGTGGATTTTCCCAAGAGAATAGGCAAGCGTCCGGACGAACTCATCAGAAGACTCTGCAAGTACGGTGAACCACACCAGCCAGTATCCTTTAGCAGAGGACTGGGTGATTAGGTTGCAGTGCTGGACTGAGCTCAGACCAGACGTGGGTCATATTAACATGTAATACATTAAATTGCTTAACAAGTCATATGTTAGCTTAATTCAGTGATGTGTCTCGGTTAAAATAAAAAAGAAAGCTGTTGTGGTTATTGAACCAGACATTGAACCAATAAAAACATCTCTTTCTGTCCCGCTCAGGTTAAACCCAGTTGAGAGGCTGGGAAACAAAAAGAGCGGTATCACTGACATCAAGAAACACAAGTACGTTTACAGTCCAAATGACACAATTCTCTTTACCTTTTAGATATTTTTAGATGAGGACTGTGTCCAAATCAGATATTTACAGTATGCATACAGGTGGGATATATTATTTTCTTTTAATATTTAGGCATGTTTGTCATGCTTATATATTTGTCATTGTTGGTAGTGTTTTGATTTTTTTTTAATATGTGCAAATCAAGCATAGCAGCATTATTATTGATCTTTGTATTAGGAGAATACAAAGAAAGTCCCAATGGTAGCAACAGCACAGTAATTATTTCTCACCACTTAACATTACAATATAATGAATGAAATGAAATGAAATGAAATGAAATGAAAAATACTGTATTCATCCCAGAAGGGAAATTCAATAAGAAGGGAAATTCAATTATATAAGTATATAACAATATAAGATTTACCATTGAATTATATTGAAGTGTGTTAATGATAACATCAGAACCAAAATGTAAAATTAAATGACGAATGAAAAACAAATGAATAACTCAGCATAGATGGGGAAAGTCTTATCTCAGCGATCTAATTCGGTAGGAAAATGATTTAGAATATCATACAACTTTTGCGTTTTTACTCCTTTTTATTAATTTCGAAGATTTAGGCAACTAATTTAGGGAACAATTTCCACATTCTAGTTTTGTGTTTATAAACATAACATTTAATTACAACACAGTTTGATATTTTGTTTTTCATGATTTAGCAAAATGTTATATTGTCTTTAGACATAAAATCTAAAAATTTTAAGATATTTTGTGTCATCTGTTTGTGAATGTCGAGACAGAATGTACTAACTTTGTTCCTGTCAACAAGTAGGGTCAATTTGTGGCTTCTTCATGGATTAAGTATTGGTCATTAAAGGGATATTAACCATGTGAGCTGGAGGACTAAACATCTGAAACTCCTTATCAGTCAGTTAGACCTGAAGAAGCCTGTTGTATGAGAGGTGAAACATGTTCAAGAACCTAAGGAGAGATGTCCAGTTGCTTTCTACTGAAGCTCCTAGGTTCAAAGAATTTAATAAATTAAGATGGAGCATAAGTATTCTGAAACAGTAATTGTCAGATGGTTACTTTTAAAAGAGTAGATTTTAAATAAAGTCTAACTGAAAATTTGTTTGTTTTGTAGGTGGTTCCAGGGATTCAACTGGGAAGGGCTGAGATGTTACAAGCTGCTGTCTCCACTGAGGAGACAGGTGAGACTTCAAAGCACAGCCAGTCCCTGAGAGTTTAACAGATTGTGATCTTTTCTGTAGGAAATAGGTTCGTGCTGATCAGGGAATGTGACAAAATTAAATAAGAGTAAAGAATTTTAAATAAAGGTCTGAAAATATTGAGTTAAAAGGAGAATGTTGGGGGTGCCCCTATAGCTCACTTAGTTGAGCGGGCAACCCATAAACAGGGGCTATAGCTCCCCAACGCAGCGGTTGTGGGTTCGACTCCCGCTCATGACCCTGTGCTGCAGGTCTCTCCCCATTCTTCTCCCCCCTTTCCTGTCCATCTCTACTGCTCTAAAATAAAGGCAAAAAATGCTGCGTGGAGTTTGCATGTTCTCCCCGTGCAGCGTGGGTTCTCTCCAGGTTCTCCAGCTTCCTCCCACACAGTCCAAAAACATGTTGAGGTTAATTGGTGATTCTAAATTGTCTGTAGGTGTGAATGTGAGTGTGCTCGTTTGTCTCTAAGTGTAGCCCTGTGATAGACTGGCGACCTGTCCAGGGTGTCCCCTGCCTTCACCCTAAGTCGGCTGGGATAGGCTCCAGCTCCCCCGTGACCCTAGTGAGGATTAAGCGGTGTATAGATAATGGATGGATGGATATTTTATTTGCTGATGTTTATGCAAAAGCTGTAAAAAGCAACAGTCAGTACTGTCTGTGAACCCAGTTTCAGACACAGATCAGGCAGAGACAGGTCAAGATTAAAGGTTTTCTTTAAGCAAAGGAATGAAACTGAAAACCAATAGGGAAAGAGGAAACTAAACTGAGGAGGAAACAGAACAGGGGAAACCAGACCTAATTCAAAAAAGTGGCAAAAATACGAAAATCTAAAAAAAAAAAACAACAAAAAACAAACTCCAACTAACAGCAGAAGGGAAAACTAGGGAATACTACTAAGAATCAATTAAGTTATGTATGATGACAATAAAAAGCATTCTATTCTATTCTATTCTATTCTATTCTATTCTATTCTATTCTATTCTAAGCTAGACCAAAGGTCAGGGACCGGCAGGGAAATAGGGTTGCACAGTCTACAGTCTAGCAGACAGTGGTGGAATGAACAGGCTTTTGTGGGAATGAGGTGATGGTGAGCAGATGAGCTGATCCCTGCAGTTCATCTGCTCAACCTGCAAATAAGCAGGCTGCATGCAGGGCTGGGTGGACAGAGAGAGGGAGAAAGAGAGAGAAAGACAGGGGCTGGGGCTGAAGCAGGGATCCTGAAAAATAACAATAAATCTCCTTTTTTTTTTAAGCTAAGAGTTACTTTATATTGGCTGGTGACATACATGGACTGGCAAAAATACAAAATCCATGTGCGATCTGAAAATTACAGGAGCACATTGCTTTCACACTTGTTTCTTCATCACAGTCCACAAGTTTTGACGGGGCTTAAGGTAGGAGTTTGAGGAGACAAGTCTAAAACTGTCATTTTTTGCCTTATTTAGCCATTTCTCTTTTACTGTTGATGTGTGTTTGGGGTCATTCTCTTGCTGGAAACATCCAAATGCTTCCAGAACCCAACCTTCTGGCGAATGATTCTTACTTTATTGTTCAATTTACTTTATGTGACACACCAGTTCCACTGGCAGCAAAACAGCCCCAGAGCATAATACTTCAGCCACCACGCTTGACGGGTGTTCTTGGGATTAAAGGCCTCACCTTGTCTCCTCCAAACATGTTTCTCATCATTGTGGCCAAAAAGGTCTTTTTTTTTTTTTAAATTTACATATGACCACAGACCGTTCTTCCAGAAAGGCTTTTTCCTTTGTTCATGTGATCAGCTGCAAACATCAGTCGAGCCTTAAAGTGATACTTCTAGGTGAAGGACTTTCTTCTTGCATGGCAAGGTGAGGATTAGTTCATGGTGATGTAAAACACAGCTGACTGTGAACACTGACGCATGTGTTCCAGCAGCTTCTAATTCATTGCAGACCTGCTTTTTGTTGACTCTTGATTGACTTTTGACAATCCTGACCAATTGGTGATAGTTCTTCCTCATTGTGGTAGTGGCAAAACTGTGCCATGCACTTTATGCTTACAAACAATTGTTTGTACAGATGATTTTGGGATCTGTAGCTGCTTTTAAATGGCTCCAAGTGAATTTCCTGACTTGTTCAAATCAATCGTTTCTTTTTTCAGATATTTGCTCTTCAGATTTCCCAATTTTAGTGTTTGTGGCTAATAAGTATATCAAATGGGCAGTAATTATTTGGCTCAGAGGAGTCAGCAGCTGCAGTCAATCATAATCACTCACAAGAAGTTAAGAGGCCCTGCAATCAAGAAAATTCCATGAACACAGCTTTCTGCATCACCAAAACTGATCATTCAAGTTGCAGTGAATATATATTTTTTGCAGGTTTTGTAATTTTTTCTTGAAATCCGATAATAAATCTATGAAAGAACCAAAATGCATGATTTTTGTTGTGTGAAAGGTGCATGTATTTTATTGATTCCATCAGGAATTATAGGAGTCATTGGTAACTCAAGACTGCCATGATATACATGGTCTTTGGTTCATCACTGTGTAGAAAATACACTTTATGATTAAAATTGCATTAGTTTGTTAGGGGCACCACCCATATGCCCTAAAGTCCAATGTAAGTTTTAGAAAAGAATTCTAATAAGCCCAAATTAAGTAGTCCGAAAAAAAAGAAAGCCCATGTAGATACTAGAGGAAAACAAGCCTGAGTAAAAATACTATCTTAAAAACTCTTTTAATTCAAGAGATTGCCCAGGAGAGCCAAAAACCATACAGGTGAAATTGTAGAAAATCTAGTATTAATATAATTGTTTATTGTTTCCACAGGTGAAGGGGCCAATGGATCACAGTCACTTTGACATATTTCCTCCGGACACAGAAGAGCCTCCTGATGAGCTGTCTGGCTGGGATAAAAACTTCTGAGGACTCTGATTACAAAGACTTTCAGCATCAACTGTGGATCTGGCAAAACTCAGAAGTCAGCTTCACCAGAAAGCAGAAAGTTTCGACTGAACAGATATTCTGTTGTGAGGAAAGTAGTGTTCATGCTGCCAAACTTTTTGCTTAACCTCTTTTTGTAAAAACAAATAAGCATTAGTACAGTCAGATAAATAACATAGAGTCATGCTGTCAAACAGTCTGTAGCGCGGGCTCCTTCTAGATACCAGCTTCTCTATTTACAGCAGCTCCAGAGTGTTCAGTAAGTTCGGCCCTGAGCAACATGAGATGACTGTGTGATATAGGCCTATAACTTTCACATCTGTTCTGCAGCAACCTGACAGCCTGTGACCTCAGTCACTGCTGCTGACCAGGAGCTTTTCCCAAAGTTTGGCTTTTCAGAGATTCTCTGACCCATCTGGCCATAGGAACTCAGTTCTTTTACGCCACTCAGCTCTCCACGGTGACCACTTCCT